CAACACTATTGTTAGAATTGCCTAGTAGTTGTTTGATGATCTGGATGAAGTAAATCAGTTTCTTGTAACCTAATATGCCATGAAAGAGCTTGTTTAAGATCATGTGATATATGTTGATTAAATGAAAAACGTGGTGCATGTTCAAAATAATCTCTTAATTGATCTTTATACATTGGATGAGCACATTTTTCAATGATTAATCGAGCTGATTCTTTTGAACTTTTAGCACGTAAATCAACTAAATCTTGTTCACTAACCATTATTTGAATTGAATTTTCATTATGATCAATACATGAAAAATCATTGGAACAAATGCTGAAATTTTTCCATCTTTAGCTATTGATGAAGTCGTAAATATTGATTTATACTATAAATACAGAAATATTATTTGAATAAATCGATATTATTAGCGAGAAAAAAGAAGATAAATCTTACATTTTTTCTAGTAAAATCTCCACTTCCACCAATTCCATTCATTATCGCTGATCCAAGAACATGTGTTGAATTAACATTTCCATAAATATCATCTTCTAATGCTGTATTCATTGTAATACGACCGATTCGACAAATAACTTCAGGATTATTTGATATTTCCATATGACGTAAAATAAATTTCGATTTAATGCAAAATGAAGTTTATCACTATCAATGAAACCAAATATTGAATCTTGTATTACTTCGGTATACATTTCAATCGATTTAAAATGTTTATCTCGAGCTAGAAATTAATATTATTTATTTATTTAATAATAAAAAATTATTGATTTACCTCTACAAGCAAAAACAGCATTTGCAACATTATCAACACTCGATTGAAATCGAAGTAATTCTTTTAGGATTTCCTTTTTTTTTTAAATTTTATTTATTATAAATAGAAAAATGCGGAAACTTCGGATTTAAATCCGAGAGTTATGTGTACTTCAAAAAGTGAATCAGACGAATCAGCCATCGTAGAATGTGTGGACATCAAAATTATACTGGGGAACCTACCCTCTAAACTGTTGATTTCTATTGGGTATTGCCAAACCAATATGACTTGGGACCGAATAGAGCTCAAATTTGAACTCTTCCCCTTGATTTATCCTAAGAAAGTCGTTTTTCCTAAAACTTGATTTCTATTGGTCACTGCTCAATCAATAGTATTTCGATAGAAGTGGAGTACAGATTCGAGTTCTCCACCCCAGAAAACCTCGAAGCATCATCACTGTGATCGGAAGATAGAGCTCGAATTATGGATCAATTAGATCGTGGACAAAAATATAACCTAGTTCTCTTTAATTATCTTTGTGATAGGTGAGTCAGCCTTCCTGTTTCTTTATGTTTTATACACCATTTTGTAGCTCTTGAAATTCTCTGTCGAATAGTATATAATAGTTGGAGTTTTAGTTGACTATGATAGGAAAAGTTATTTACGAAAGTGGGGATGGGTCGATCTTTCCATAGGGAATGTATACGGAAAAATGAGCATTTTTGCAAGAACTCAGGAACGGCTCGGCCAATCCTTCTCATCTTCGAACTCGACCGAGATATTGTTAAGACTGAACTGTGTAGAAAATTTCATCACGATCTGACTCTCCTTTCGAAAGTTATCGTGTAAACGGCCGGACGGCCACACTGACCGATTCTATAGTGTACTCACTTTTTGAGTACACAAAAAAACAACAATTGGAATTAAAATTTTTTCATAGAATTAAAATAGAATTTACTTTAATCACAGGAATTTTAGGTTGAAAATGAGAACTTAATTGATGAATAACTTCTTGAGTTAATAAGGCATGTTTTAAAGTTTTTCATTGTTTCATTGTTCGAACAATTACAGCTCGAATAAGCATTTTTCGATCTTCATCAATTGTTCGATATAAACCTTTGATATTTTTTTGTTCGACTGATTATATTGGTACATTCAAATTTATCTTTGTTTTTTTACTAAAAAAAAAGAAATAAAAAGAAAAATTAAGAATTTTTTTATATTGAATCTTTAGACACATGTTAAACTCCTAGCCATATTATTTATACTATAATTATCATCTTCTGACTTCATCAAACTCATAGAAGATAAATTCGAATGTACGAAATTCAATTTTCTACAGTTTTATGTATTAGGATTTGGATTTATACGTATCATTTAGAATTTAGTACAATAAGTTTGTCTGATCTAACATAGATTCGTTAATTTCCGATTTTAATTCGTTTATATATTTCATACAAAAATAAGAATTTATGAACATGCGTTACAAAATCTCAAACTATTTTGTAGTACTTTTGTTCGAATTCAAATCGAAATCTAAAAATTCTAATCCATTATAAGACTAAAATAGAATTCTATGTAACGACGTTAACTACCATTCTGTAGAAGCATCTCAAGATTGATTGCGAAGAGAGAGAGAGAGGTTGACTCCCGATTCTTTTCCGCTGCTCGAGATACCCTTGCTTTTCTGTATTATTTGCTGCAGTCAAATATTTTTTGCATTGTTCTTGTTTTCTTAGCCATCATATTATTCTAAGATATGAATGAATTATTATCTATTCATCATTTTTTCATTTGCCACCATCCTGTAAAGAAGTCTGCCGAGTCCAAAATTTCCGAACTTGGTCGAATCGTACTTTAATGATCTCAAAGAAACTTTCTAATCGAAATCGAATAGATACTTCAACGATACGAAATATTTTATTGTATTACTAGAACCACAACGTTCTTTGAAACTTATTATCAAAAATCGAATATTCTTTTCAATTTTCTTTTAAACTCTTAAATCACATGATTAGAAAAAAATATACTAATCTTTTAAAATTATTTGCTATCTGAATATTATAATTCATTTTAATATAATTTTCGTTGAAATCTTTTTGAAGTTCATCATTATTAATTTCTGAATGTATAATCAATTTACTTTTCAATAAATTATAAAGAATTTGCAAGAATAAATTAACATTAATTTGTGTTTCATCTTGCATTTGTTCAACTGTCCAACTTGAACGTTTATTAAATAAAAGTAAAATTACTATTTCATATGTTGTTACCTTTAATATTTCAAAAAAAAAAGAAAATCATTCATTCTTTAGAATAAATCAATACATACATGTAAAATATATTTTTGTTTAGTATACAATGTTTGTAAATCTCCTTTTGAATGTTGATGAAGCGATACTAACTTACGACTATTATGTTGTTGATTATAAAACATAGTAAAACTTTCAAATATTTTTTTTTAAACTAACAGAAAAAAAATTTAATAAATATGATTGAAAAATATCGATAAAAATAACTCTTACTTCAATTGGTAAAACAAAATTTGGTGGTGTAGAAAATGGCCATTAATTTATTTTAAGAACCATTACAGAAAAATCAACTGACAAAAAAAATAAATAATCATATCAAATACAAGTTCAGTCACACCCACACCCACATCCTTCTATTCCCAAAATCCAAAAAAATTGTTCTTATAGGAATTGTTTCAGTCTTGATATATACGCAAATTTGCTGAAGACAGTTATAATAAACAATAAAGTTAAAAGAGGAATTGACATTGTAAAAACAACGTTCAAGTTTAGAGTAGAAAAGTGTTAACTAATAGAAGTCTTCACTGTATCTCTGATCTTGATAAGATTGTTTAACCCTTTTGATTGAGGATCCATTTTTATTTTTATAAAAAAAATTTGGATTTTCACTTACAATATTGATTATAGTTGAAAATTATTAATCATAATTTTTGCATCAAGATTTAATGTAAAAGACGCACGATATTTATTTTAAAAGAGTCTAAAAATGTACTAATAAAACATGAAATTCCTCGAAACAATCAACAAACACAAAGACCGATATTACAATCTTTACATATACAACGAGAATCAGTCCTTTTTCTAGGTCTTCGACTAGTGTGTACATATAGAACACAAATTTTCTGAAGAGTTTTTCTATTTGTTGTTTCATATGTCAATACAAAACGATCTATTGTAAATTTTCAAACACTAGAAGATTCTAAGATTTCATGAATCAGTTGTAAATGATAATTTATAAATTAAAAAAATTTCAATTTTAGTGTATCTAAAGGTTTCTTTCCTTAGCCAAATTTCGAATATATATATATATATATATGGGTTTGGTCTTCAAAGGATTGATCTAAAAAGAGAATTTTATATTACCATTCCACGCCGTTTAAGTTCATTATAGACGAGTTTTGTTGTTGCAATATCATCATCAATATTGCGATATTCACGTTCGTCACATCGGCTAATTGTGTCATGAGATTTCTTATTCTGAAATAAAATTTTTTAATATTCATTAACTACAAAGATTAAACGTTTAAATTTAATAGATTAACTGAAACAAGCTCAAGTTGTGTACATACATCACAAATGGTTTTATTAACATATTACCAAAATAATATTTTGATTCTTCACGAGAATCAAAACAATCACTAAGCATCGATGTTTTTTTGTTCATGAACAATTTTCTAAGAATAATAAACAAAAGAAAAAAGAAGATTGATTTCTATTGTCTATTTTTACTTGTTTTTTTTTTACTTCATCATTCATTTCTTGATCAATAAGAAATAATTGTGTATTTCGTTGGTATGAAGAATAATACATTCAATAATAGGATCGTTTTTCATGATGTTCAGTTCGACCAGATTTTTTATAATAATCAGATATTGATTTGACTAAATACCAATAAACAAAAAAATCTGAACAAAAAAAAAAAAATTATTTGATTTCGAAAATCAATATTTATTATTCAATTCGAAAATGTTTATAATTGAGTTAGAGAAGTAGAAAATGTAATGAAATGATAAGATGAATAATTAATAATGATATGATGGTAAAGCTTGTTTGGGTTCAATTTAGATTGTGAGTGTTAGTGTCCACATCACCCTATTTTTATTGTCGGATGGAGAGTCTTATAAGCGAATACGAAATAAACTTTATCATATTACCTTATATAGTGTATTAAACTGTATACAGCTACCAACAACAAAGAAATAAATTGAAAAAAAAAGAGAGAAAGAACAAGTAACGTTTAACATTTGTTATAAGAAAATAAATTCATAAACGTTCAATATCCATAACTTCGATCAATTTATTAGATTGAAAAGAAACTACTAACAAATATAAAATAAAAATCGATCGGAAAAATAATCATGATTAATGACAATGAAAAAAAAAAATCTTTTAAGATAATCGATATAAATCGACACTTGTTTCGTTTACAATAACGATGAGTTCGTCAGTCAATTGAACGGCATGAAGAGGTGGTACATGATAATTGTCTTTTTTGATGATTTTCCCATCTGCAGAAATATGGATCAACTCCGAAGTATCTCCATTGAGCATAAGTAATTGACCATTGTTCAATAAACAACATCGAAAAACTTTTTCATTAATTAAAACACCGAGTTGAATCGACCAATATCGTCCGAGTGTTGTTGATGAACACAAATCGACACGCCATTGATTTGACCGATTAGCAATAACAAGAGCCAATGTTTGATTATTCCATGCTATGTCAGATATAAGTTCATCGTAAGAACAAGTAAATGGTGTTCGATATTCTTTAACGAATTCTATCGATCTTCGAAGATTGTATTCATAAATCGATGTACCCATTGCATCTACAATTAAATAAAGACTATCATTTGAACATGTTCCACTACTCCAATCAGCCATCGAACTATTGTGAAGAATTGAACATGGTTCGATCATCATTTTTTTTTCGTCGAGTGTAAAGATTTCCTTTGAAGTAATAATAAAAAAAAGATCAAGTGTTTTCGACCAAACCATGTGCCATGGAATATCATGATTCCATGGAAATTCATTCTGAATACCCAATTGTTGATCCAATAGATAGAATTTGTGGATATTTTCCAACAGGATATGATTTTCACTAGCTGCAATAAATGAACTGTATTGTATTTTGATTGATCGATATAGTGGTGGAAGGGGTAAGATATTTTTTGGTTTCAATATATTTTGATAAATGTCAACGATATGTTCGTCGATATCTAATGGTGAAAGAACAGGAGGAATTTCCAATTCATTGATCTGTCGTTGAAGACAATGTAGAGAATTGTTCATTGAATCGACGTATTCCGTGGTTGTTTCTTGTTTTTTAATGGATTCATCGATTTGATAACGAAGATGATCGAGATCAATCTTTTGTTTTTGTCTTTCGTTCATGATCAATTTATCGAATTCTTGTTTCTTTCGTTCACAATAATGATCGATTGTTTGATGTGCTTCTTCCCGCCAATTATCGAGTTCGATGCAGAAGGCGGATTGAGGTAATAAAACATTGTTGAATCGATAGAATAGGTCGTTGATATCGTCGGCCAATGGAAGAAGTTGATCATTGAGACGATGCGAATGTTCATTGAGATGTTCGATACAGACAGATTTTTGACAACAGTAACAAAGAGCATGAGCAGATCGTTTACATGTTTCGATCGAACACATTTGTGATGATGATGCCATTTTGATGAATGTAGACGCGAAGAGAAGAGCGTATCTGTTCGTTTTTTTTTTATAAAGAAAATGTGTTTTATTGCGATATTCTATTCCTATTTATCATGAGTGTGAGTAATAGCTCTCTTCTCTCTCATGTTGGACATTTTCGCACGTTTCTCACTGTTTCGATGTTGAGAATAGCAAGTGCGAAATGTATTGTGAATAATTGTGAGAAGAAAGGAATGTTGAAGTTATTACATACAATTCTCAACGAGTAAGAATCAAACAAGTTCGAATGGAATTGAAACAACGTTGTCAATTTGGTTTGACGACAGTGAAGCTTTTGTTCTTGCTCAAGACGTTTTAACTAGTTTTTTTTTTTTTGTGTAGTGTAGGTTCAATCAATATATTTATAATTGTTTAAGGATTTTGATGCTTTCATGAATATGTTTTGATAAACCAATTAATGCTGTTAGATCATCTTTTATTATAAAACTAACAAATTTCTTTCGTGTATATTCAAGATATGCTTCTAAATATTTTTATCTATTTAAATAAATATAACATTAGAACATAAATTAGCTGAATTGATACTTGATACATCACTAACTAATAATGTCATCGATACCAATTACAAACATCGAACCGACTTCAATAATTTCCATTCTCTCTTGACGACTGAAAAAAGTCGTAGTCAGTTCGGTTTTAATCATTCTTTCAAACTTCTTCTCTGGTGGAGGGATGCTTCTCATAAAATCGATGGTCGTTTCTTGTGTCAGAAGTCGTACAATGTCACCATATTGAAATCGGATAAAAGTATGTGAGAGATGATCTTCAGATTGAATGATCATTATTTAAGGAAAACTCAAAGGACATCTCATTTTGTAGAAGAAAATACTAATTAATATTGGTTTATATTTCGTCTTTAGATCAAACTGTCGAATTCCGACTATATTATATCAGTTGTCAGTGATCCAGAAATATGATAAATGTATAAATTTTCCTTGAAACAAAGATGCACGTTTCTATTCTTTTTTCCGAACTGCACCATATCTGCCAATAGATTTTAATCTAAAGGATATGAATTAAAGTAATAAGAACTTTTATTTTAAAAAAAAAAAAAATCCTTTGAAAAAGTTCTATAACATTGACATATTATCTAAAATTGGATACAAATGATGGAATTATCTTGATATAAAGCCATCGACACATTAGAAGACCCTCCCCCCTCTTAGAAAATCGGTATTTTGAAACAGTTTCTGGAGTTTATTGACCTGTTTAGTATTTAAGCCTAGAATGATATCGAAATTCAGTACGAACAATATCTTGCTTCCTTCCTCATAACCAAGTGTCAGGCTCGAATGAGTAAAATCCTGAGAAGCAACTAATAGGAAACAACTGTCTATTAAAGATTGCGTTTCTTTGTAAAAATATACCATCGAGTCATTTTAGTACTCCTTTGCAGCTTACTTTGAATACATTATTCAGGCTCTATACACGAAAAACACGCTTCCATAGTCAGAGGATCTAATGAACGCAGTGCCCGTTCGTGCATGTAACACGTAAAGGGATCTTTGTACAATAGTAACAGATTAGATAAAGTGCCGCTTTGTATTAATTAAAAGGTCTCTTTATCTTTGACTTTCTTCTAGAAAATCAGAAACGTTTTCACCACAAAACAGTCTTTCATAATTGAAGAAAACATAACTTCATGCAGTCTACAAAAAAAATTCTGGGACACTCAAGAATAGTTCTGCAAAATTTTATATTACGTTTGAAACAAACTTTATATATATTTTAAGTATAGTTACTGGTTACAGTTTCATATAATATTAAAACTAGAAGTTTTGCATCTGTAGAGTAAAGTACGAAAGTTTAACCAGTAACTATACTTAAAAAATATATATAAAGTTTATTTCAAATGAAAGATGAAATTTCGGAGAGCCATTCTTGAATGTCCCAGAATTTTTTGCGTAGACTGTATAAACGTCAAGATTTGATATGTGAGTACTTTTTTTGAGTTTCAGAATGCATTTCTTTTTTCAATAAGATACAATGGCATTTTTTGAAACAGACGCAAAAGAAAAACAGTGTGTGTATTCAACTGCTGATTTTCTATAGATGGTTTCTTCTCAAGACAATCGTATTCATTGAAGTTACCTTAAGATTAATAACTTTGCTAGTAGCAGAACTCACTATGAATAGATTCCATCTATACTAATCATATCTCCACATAAACAACTGAATAAAATGAGTTTGATAAAAAAAATTAATTTTCTTTTTTTACATTTATTTAGTTATTGAGAAGGTAAAATGTTGCCAGTGAGAAGTGTTAGCCTAGAGAAAAAAAGAACGATATGGGATATCGTACCAAGGTGTTAGGCTACATTGACTGTATTGTTCTAAGAACACTTCTTACCAACGATGGTCTCCCTTTTTTCACAGGATGATATCTGTTTCTTTCTTATTCTACACATGTGAAATAAGTGAAGCAAACTCATTTACCAACGATATATTGGACAAAAATCAAGTGAAGCTAAGGTTTGTAGGTGGGATTGCCAAAAAATATGACTTTTTTAAGGGACATAATAGAAGACCCCCCTTTTAACTTATGAACGATAAGACAGAATAGAAGACCCCGGGTCTTCTAATGTGTCGATGGCTTTAGATCAAACATCGTTCCGAAATATCATCAAATTCAACTTTGATAACGTGAGATCGAGCTCCAGATCTCAATAATATTTCTTTTTCACTTTCAAAATATGTATTTGTATTCAAATACGTAAATTGATCATTAGATGTATAACGTCGCAATTCAATAATATACAAAACATTTCTTCCAAATGTTTCAGCAACATCACGGTTCAATGAAGTCGAAACGAATGGAAACCATTTAAAAAATATATCTTTTCGTCCAATTGTCTGTTGATATTCTTATATCTTTTCACGTGGAGCATAATCACCACGGCAGATAATCATAGATTGAGATTCAGTTGGATGAACTATTTGTGAAAGACGACGACGAATTGGAAAATTATCTTTTATATGTCGACCAATATAGTTATAAACTAGATAACAATATGGACCCAATGTTTCAAGTTTAGTTCGATCATCGTCTCGTAATGCTGTATTGACAACACGAAAGAGAAAACATTGTTTCGTATACAATTTGGCACAACAATCTTGTAATTTTTTCATTCTTTTTCGATCATTCTTCTTAAAATTTTCATCTTTGACCAAATTCAAAGTACATATTATTTCTTTAATTATATTTTCTGGTTCATTACATCCTTCATATTTCAAACATTGTGAACCATGATAAGCTGTATTCACAGTTGTACTATTTTGTCCATTCATATTTAAAGAAAACGATAATCTTTCACGACGAGTACTTTCAACTTCGGTTCCTTCATCATTCGTTAAAAATGCTTTAAGTTTATATCATCGAATAGGTTGTTGTCGTTTTGTTTCTTCAATATATTCTTGGAACAAATTCTATAAAATCAATACGATATAGTTCGTCGATAAATGTGTGATCAACACCACTTTTAAACGCTTTTTCCAAAGTTGATGATGTTTCAGTGGGGGTAAGGAGTCCACACGATAGATTGACTACTATTACACGGAGCTACATTTGTGTGCTATACCCAGATGAATTCAGATTCAGTTGATGCTAATGAAATTGGACATACAGAAATTAATTTTACTGGTGATCTCATGTTGTCAGTGCTAGGATCAAAACAACATATATATGGTTCTGGGTGTGGGTATTAATAATTATTTACATGCATTTGTCTAATACTCAAGTTTTATTTGAGTAAGGATTTTTTGTTTTTCGTTTCAATAGAGCGAAGTTAAACATAACTCAGTTTTTTGCATAATTATCAACCAAGAAGAAAAAAAAAACATTCTCATAAAACACATCTACCGAATCTGATAGAACACTATTGAAAAAAACACATTGACATTCTTGTCATGTGTACGAATAATGTAGGCTACATCCAAAAAAAAAATTCAGGAAACAGTATAATTCGATGACGGATCAATTTTGTAAAGTGGTTCTTTATACGTATTATCGCTCCTTCCTACAGTGTCGATATTTTCCATCGAAGAATAGGAACATGATTATACACAGAAGCTAACGAATCACTTCCTCAGAATTAGATTTGAGAATCCACTGAACGGTTGTCAAATATTTAATTATAAATCCTAAATTGTCATTTATATACTAGAAATATTTGTTTTTATTAAAATAAGTATTGATAAATAATAAAAAAATGATAGATCTGCCATTGAGAATGATATCCTTGATAGTTTTTAATGAGATTATTTGTGTAAATATCAAACTTGCTTTATAATACATATTGAACGTCTGGATGCTAAACATTAAATTCAAAACTTTTTTTCTCATTAAACATTTAATCAACTTACCCAATCGTAAGGTCCTTTAATGGCTACTGCTCGATCATAATCATCGCGCGATAAATGAGTCCAACGATAATTTTCTCTCGTCAAACAAAAACGTAGAATAAAAGTAGTCATCAAAGCAATTATTACTGCTCCACTACAGATCAAGTGTCTTCGTCGATATGTCAGTTTGTCGACTTCACGATAAACCTAGAACATGCATTTAATTAGTTTTCTTTGATTCATAATCTTAATAAATTACTTTAATTAAATATATAACGGTTACATGAAATGCTACAACGCATCCGAACTGACCAATAGCCATGAAATAATAAATAGACATAGCTCTTTTTGTATGTCCACCAATATTTTTCGTTCACCAAGCTAATAGAAGATGAAATGCTGTGTATATGCCAAAACAATGATGTACACTGCCACTTTGTCTCGATCTGCCAAACTTAGCATTAAAATAAATCCGAGCAGACCAATGAATAGAAAAAGGACAATATGAAATCCATGCTCATCTCGACGTGATGATGCATAGCAACCTAGAAAACAACATAGACAAGCAAGAACATAGAGAGGTGCCATTAGTAAATGTGTTAGCAGTTTGGATCCACTTGTACCATCAACCAAGGCCGGAAGAAACAGTGTTAGACATTTAATAGCACCTAAATTTTCAATAGCTATGACAATATAGGGTATGGGTGTGGCTGAGGGTGTGGGTGTGAGTAAATAATAAACAATCACACCCACACCCACACCCACACCCACACCCACATCCTCACACCCACACCCACCCACATCCTCACACTCACACCCACACCCATCCACACCCACACCCACCCACACCCACCCACACCCTCACACCCACCCACACCCACACCCACACCCTTTATATTTTTTCAGTATCTAGAGTTGGATAGAGAATGAGTTTTAGACATTTAAAAAGTCACATTCATATTAATATTCAAAACTTATCAAACTCACTTGACATCATTAATAACAACATGCTTTATTGAGAATCGTCTTAAAAACACTTCATCAGATTGACCAGACGCTCATCAAACACTTGTACAACCAGATGAGATTCTGGTAGTTAGAGTAGTTTTTATCGTACAACTTACCTTGTCACTGGACGTTTTGAATTCTCAACCGAATAAATTGTTAGAAAACATGTTCTATCCATACTATGGATAGAACTATGTTCTCTAACAATTTACTCAGTTGAGAAATCAAGTGTTTAAAAATATATTAAGTTTCTTGAACGTAAGCGAAGTCGAAGAATGTGCGTTTTTTACGATCGTATTTTCGTCAAACTTTTGACACGTCTTTTTTTTGTTTTTCTTTCTGATTAGATCTTACCCTTACTTAATGCAGATCATGACTTCGTGCCAAGTCTTGAAGTAGCAGCTTGTGAAAATTGCAACTTTGTATATGTGAAGATTTTGATGAGACAATCTAGTATACAGAACTTTTTCGCATATTGTGATGTCAGAATACGAATTTCTCACAAAAATATACACTTTTAGATATTGTGAAAAATACAGACATTTTGATTATGTACCACAAGTAAATAATTTGATTTTCATTATGTTTGTTTAGATTGTTTGTCACTATTAGTTTACATTTAACATCTTTAGAGGTATTTCAATTTTTGCAATCATGCTTTACGTGTGATGTGTAATCACATATTCTGTACAGACTTCTATGACATGATCTATACAAAGAGGTGCGTTTTGTTCGTATTCTGTTGAGAGCCATCCATAGTGCTGATGTTAATGATTATTTAATTGACTCTTATCAAGAAGAAAATGAGAAACATGCAATCAACTGTCTATAGTGTAGGTGTACGATACTCTGCTCATGGCTTGCCATGCGTAAGTGACCATGTTCTTCTGTTTAATTTTTCTTTAATTTCATGTCACTTCCCATTTCTCTATTCTTCTACACCTTACGTCTATCAGTAATTTTCAAACTTGTAATAATTATGTATTTGATCAGTCGATCTATAAGAAAACATCGGTGAAAGACGTGAGTTCAAGATGTATAAGGGAGAATGAGCCACATGATAGTCTGTAATCCTGAATAATTTTTCTTTAAAAATCTATGATATGTATTTTCGTTTCGATCGCTAGAGATGAATGAAAATCGCCTTGAAAAAAATGATTTTTTTCAAATGCATCTAAAGTATTTCATAAAAATGTATGATTTCATATCTTTCGCGAAAAACTACTAGGCTTACAGAAGAGGTCTTCCTAAGATGTTCATTCTTTCTCGACTTTGTTCATATCGATTAAATTAAGCTTTTTTAATCGATTGTTTTATGTTGGAGTGGGCAATGATTTGTGATCATGTTCTCCATGAATAGGTGGTTAAATGTCGAAAGGGAAAACGTCGAAAGACAAAATGTAGAAAAACAGGACGTAGAAAAGCAGATTGTAGAAAAAAAAAATGTCGAAAGTGAAAATGTCGAAAGAAAAATGGCGAAAATGAAAATGTCGAAAGGTAAAAATGGCGAAAAGCGTATTGACGAAAAATAAAACGTCGAAAGAAAAAATGGCGAAAAGAGAAAAATGAAATAAAGAGACGTCCATGACGTCTTCAAACAAATTTCTATCAACTGACGATGCATTGTCTCGGTAAGAGAATCTAACGGGGATCCTCTCGATTCGTCCCAAATTAGTCAATTATACGATTTTTCTTTTACATTTTTTTCTCAATTCGTCCCTTGCATAAATAGATCGTTCTTAATTGATTCTCAATTTGTCCTTTCCATGATAACTGCTGTATAATGATCGTATCGTCATATATCGTAGGATATTTAATTTTTTTCTCTTTTTGTTTTCTCTTATGCATACATTACGCATGAAACATGTATACCACCATCATGTTGCTGAAGAGAGTCAGGTTCAACCACGGAGACGTAAGAAAATTTACGATCAAACTGATATTAAACTTGCTATGCTGCATAGAGAACACAAGAACAAACAATTAAGCGACGTTCAATTGGCTATACAATGTGATCTTGCTATCAAGACATGGCTGTTCAAAAAGTGATAATAGAAATTTATACTTCATTATTGTTGATACTGTATTGTAATTTTTTTTTTGATAAAGCTCTACGATACAAAAGCACTACTGCTTGTTGCTAACCAACTAGAATTGAGAAGGGACGAGTTGAGAATCAATTAAGAATGATCTATTTACGTAAGGGACGAATTGAGCAAAAACATTTAAGAGGAGAACCGCTTAATTGACTAATTTGGGACGAATCGAGAGTAAACCACGTCTTGATGTCTTATGCAGACATTTTTCAAATAATGAAATTGATTTGGATGAATACCTCGAAGGTTTGTCGATGATCGTCGCAAAAGATATGAAGAAAAAAAAATGAATTGAAAATAGCTTTTTCAATATTATATTCAACTGCCAAGTTCTGTTTCTTAATTTATTCATTGTCTCTTTTTCTTCTCTTAAAATAGTTATCCCTACTGTCAAGTTTTGTTATCTTAATCTATTCATATAATGTTTCTTCATCTCTCTTTTTTGGAATAGTTTTTGACTTGTGCTTTATTTGCTAAGATTCTTGTCAATAAAAGAGATGACTAAATATATGCTATTAGTGTTTTCGACATTTTCATTTTCGACATTTTCACTTTCGACATTTTGTTTTTCTACATTCACAACTTTCGACATTTTTTTCGTTCGACATCCTACCTTTCGACATTTTTACTTTCGGCATTTTTTTTTCGACATTTTCACTTTCGACATTTTCCCTTCGACATTTAACCACTTTACCTTCTCCATTACACCATGGTTCAAATAGCCTTTTTTCGTGACATAATGGTAGATGCAAGTTTCTTCAGCAATATGCCCGATAGATGGGCGAGTTGGTCATCATATTAACGATCGATGGTAATGAATTATGCTTACGTTCTTGAACGGCT